TGGAGGCAAACACAAAAATAAAAGAAAAAGCTGTCCTAAAACCACTGAGCAGCTCAATACAATGGTGTTTTGTTCTCAGACAGCCTTGCCAGCACACATGAAGTGAGATGTACTCACATTGAAAAGAAACAGACCCCTTCTGAGTGGGCAGGGCCCCAAGGCTTCTGCTCGTGAGGCTGCTGGTGCTCRTGGCTTGGGCTCTGGGAGAAAATTGCTGGGACCTTCTTGTCTTACCTCCCTCCTGGGCAAGCRCAGCTTCTTTCTCTCTGGGTGGTCTTCCCAGCAATGGAGGTCTTGTCCTTCTGCTCTGSTGTGACCCAGGAGTGAACTGAGCTCATTAAATATACTTGACTTTCCTTTGGAAAAAAAAAAAAGGTGGAAATAGATCGATCCAAGTTATGATGATGATGATGCATTTATATTAAGAAAATAAAGACAGTGCACTTGTTTGTAGAAATCAACTGCATTTCCCCTCTGTTATACTTGTTTCTTGAGAGGCTGTGGTTGTCAGATCAAGCATTTCAAGACACGTCATTTCCAGAAGAGAGGAGTTAGACACACTCTTGATCGTGTGCTTCTGTTTATTCTGCGTAAGGGATCTAGGACACCTGTGTTAGTTTTAAAGCTACTACATGTACAGCACTTGACTGCTATATTTTGGCAAGTCCCAGCTGTTATTTCACATGTGTGAACTAAGAAAATACCCAAGGTAAACACAGACTTAGAAGAAGTACCAAAAACATTTACAATAAAGTGCAAGTATAGCYCAGTATGTTAACCTGCTAATATATACAGTGTGCTGGCCCCGATCTATTTCCCTTTAGAGAGGCAAAGGAAAAGGGATGTAACAAAGCACCACAACTGGTTACCAGTTATTTCTCCTAAAGTCGCAACACCAATATGAATTGATTTTCTCTCATTTTTCTTTCCTTACAGTTGTTACAAGCCAAGCCTACCCAAATGTGGGCAGTGCAGAATAGAATTTATTTTTTCTGTTCATTTTGTGCATCAGACAGCATTTAATTTAAAAAACAGTTTAAACCCAGATTACTTACATGTGTGCACATGCTCACACTCCCCCCCTGCATACACAATGTTAAAAGGACATTACTGATGATCATTTATTTTTTTGTGCTCTTGCTGCATTTCATAATATCCCTTCTCTCTTGAAATACTGCCAGAGAAGATTGTCTTAAATAGACTTCAATGGTGTCAACAGAACCTCAGGAAATGAGGACTGAGGTGAACCTAAGGTCCACTGTGTGCCATGAGGACTCTGATTATACATTCTGCTTTGTACAGGAGGCAAAGATCTGCACCCCCGATGTCTTACCTCCAAAATCCAATATTCTGTCCACTTTCTGTCTCCTCTAGTTAAAGCCAATTATTTTGACTTGCTTGGTTTCTTGTCCAGAAGTGATGTTCTTTTACCTCCTCTTGCTCACACTCAGTTTTGAGTTATGTCTCAGAAACTCTTAGATTTCATTAGAAGTTAGTTTTAGTCGACAAACAGGGCTACTTTATCTCCATGATATCCTGTGTGTGGGTCACATCCTTTTAAGWACAACCATCAGCTCTGTAAATACTGTCCTTAGAGGTAAGCTTTCCAGCTGCCTCCTGACATGTCCTGACGTAACCACCCTGTGGTCTGTGAGCCAAATCTTCCATGGGGCAAACAAATAAAAAAATGAGCTATTGATTCCAATTAAATGAGTCAAACAAGGAATTTCCAGGCAGCAACCTGAAACTAGAGTAATGTCTCCTGAGGTATTTCAGACAGGAACCTAGCATGTATGAGAAGCCGTAGCAAAAAAGGTTACCACTTCATTAGTGACAAGACTAAAATTTTTAATGAGATTGAAGCGCTTTGTGTATCCAGGGTCAGCTCAAAATCCAAAAGAACATTTCTCAGTGTTTCAGCTCTTACTTGCTAAATTAATTATTGATGCAAATGAGACCTGTCCTGAAGTTACGTAAACTTGCTGTGTAATAACCACATGCCATTCTGTGATTAACTAATTTCTTGCTCCAAARCTTTCAGGAGTAAAAGACAAGCATTGTATTTGTCCCGTGTTTGACATGACAACTTTCAATTGAAATATCATGTCCCTCTAATTGTAGGCACTTCAAACTCAGTAATGTTTTGCTTATATCAGTCACTGATCATTCACTACTTCTATTCATCATAATCCAGGATTGCTCTAGCTCACTCTGCAGTAATTCTAGCTGGCTTTCATCATTCCCGTGGAAAACATACATGAACAATTAAATCTCTCAGCAGAAGGATCAACCTCATCTGGAGATTTACGAAAGCATTGCAGAAAAATGATCGTGTATATATTTATGTGAGCAATAGCAATGAATAATTATGTAAATATCCGATAACAATATRGGTCATCTTGTCAGTGGTGAAATACTAATTTGATTTGACTCCTGAGAATTTGTTGGCTATCCTGAAAAGAAGAAGGGGTGAGGAAAAGACAAGGAAAAGGTGCTCTCTATGGTTATGTATGGAAGTTCATGGAAAGACCCTGATGCAGCGCAATCGACAAAAACCTATGAAATAGTAAAATATAATATTTAGAAACAACAAAGTATATCCAATTATTTTAAGGCAAGGAGAGCAGGTGCCCAAGGCAGAGAAAAATTTACCTCACTTGTTTCTTACCCTTGCAGGTTTGCACACGCTGACCTCTGATCAACAATCTGCACTGTCCATTCTGTTCCACCTSCTCTGATGCCTTGTTTGAAGGCTCRTGGAAAATCAGTGTGAGAGCAGTCAGTGTGAAGAATGGTCTTYTTGCCTCCTGCGGTAACCATGAGACCACCCTCATATGTCAGAGCCTGAAGACATCACAATATCAGGTAAAAGAGACTTTTATAGCTTTCCATATATTTTAGTGAGCACAGCTTTGCAATGCTAGAGAACAAGCAGCAAGGATAAGAGTTTTAGGGCTGATAGCTCTTCWGCAAATATTTGCATCAGGTTGATACTGGCTTATTGTTGTCTTTACAAACTGGCAATATGATGATTTRTATGTCCTTCCAAGCCTTGAAAGAAAGAAATGAGGCTTAGCACCAGCTTCCTAAAGGCTATTGTTGTGTTCCCATAAAGAAGGAACATAACTGGTGAATAGCTGTCCATGCGTGGATAAAGTYAGTCATTAAAAATTCAGTAATAGAGAATTGTAAGTGGTGCTCATTTTGTGTATGTAGATACAAYATGTAGTAAAAGGAATGAGAGAAAGGAGGAGATTAGCAAAGCTAATTGGCTTGGTTGTAAAAAACCCCACTCTACAATACAAAACATGCACAATAAAATAGCAAATAGATTTGATGAAGTTAGTGCACAGGCCTCTGTCCTATAGACTGCTGTACTGAACCAATTCTCCTGATGTAGATTTCCTTCATGATGGAAACTTTTATAACTCACCAGCAGAAGACATTTCGATGTAAAAAGATGATACTTAAAATCACAGAATGGCTTAAACTTGGGTGGCAGGGCTAATGTTAGGTCAGATTTAATGTTCATGCCTGAAGTTCCTAAACCAAGGAACACTATCTTTAGTGAATTCTATCTTTACATAATCTGTCAGAACTTCAACTACAGCAAATATAAAACAACTGAAGATGGATGAAGAGCTCAGCCCTCTTTGGAGTCCCAGTGGTCCTTCCATTGACTTCTAGGATTGTGTGTCAKTTGCTCATTCTAACACTACAATATTCATACAATTAATGATATATCGTCCATGCCTTGATCTTTCAGGTTTGCAGACATAAAGACTGAGAAAGAGGAATTGACTTCGATTTTCTGCTTTGCAAGACATGACAGAAAGATTCTTCCAAGMACAAACAGGTACTAAGAGAAAGCTGTTTTGGARATACAAAGCCTTATAAGGACCTTTTCAAGGASGGAGATCTAAGCAGAACTATCAGTRTTATGAGAGATTAGTAATGAGCAGAGCAGAGCAGGGATTATGATGAGGAAAAGAAAGTGCAAAGTCTTAAAAGAAACAATCTATCTTTATTGCCTCTTAAATCAATTAGGGATCAGACCACCAGCATTTCTACWTCCTGCTTTTGCTCAGGGTACTCATAGATTATAAAAATGTTGATGTTTCCCTTACACTTGATAAGATTTTTTTTTAAAAAGGACATTATTTTTTAGATGCATTGTTTTGTATAAGTAGTGCTGTAGCTATGATGGTCTAAGGGTATAACCAAGGCCAGATGTGCAGAGTGAGGTATTGCCTTTTATTAGACTAACCAAAATAGCTGAAAAAATAGACAAGATTTAGAACATGCMATCACTCTTCAGGTAAAAGGAATAAAACATTCTCCATTGCATCAAGCTAAACTTTGAAAAGAGAKGAACTACAAGGTGACAGTCTTGTTCAGGCTTACTGGGAGAAAGAAGCATGGAACCTGTCTGTCATTGGCACTGTTCAAGAGGAGTACCCCTTTATGATTCCTGGTTCTKAAGGAGTTTGGGGATTGCTGTCCCCAGACACAGTGATATGGGACAGGACTGCTTTTCCCCTTTTCTGAATCTCATGCCTGACAGGCTGCTTCTGACAGTGCTTTTATACCAGCAGTGGGAAGTTAGGGGCAGACAGAGGCATCTTGCTGGWTGATGCACACTTTCAGCATGGATTTAAGTGTTTGAAGGAAGGAGATCTGGAAGAACAGAATCACTGTCTTTACACAGCCTGCAGATGGCATTGCTCAAGCAAGCATGTTTTAAATCTTCATGAGAAGAAAAASATATCTGAATAAAAAATATCCAAACAAAAAAAGCTCCTAACAGTTGGCGTCTTCTACATTCTGGTATATTTTGCCTTGCCACTTAGTAACTGTATATAAAACAAAGCTTCATGTCCTGAGACCTAACTTTGTATCCTCACTCTGTAAAAGTCAATAAATAAATAGGAATSCTAATAAAACGTTGTTAGAATTTGGATGAGGAAGCAGGGATTTAATAAACAGTACTTACGTACGGTCTTAAAAATAGATGCTCACTGTTTGGAGACTWTTCTGTTCCCATTCTAGTGCAATTAACAGAGMTGTGATCACAAATATTTCACAAGGGCATTAATCCAGCCAGGCAATAGGAACAGTGCTCTCTGTGGGCCACCAACAATGACTGAAAAAGAAGTTAATGGTAAATGCTATGCATTAGAAGCCAATGCACAAATATTGCAGAATTCTGCAAAATTACAAGCCAACTGTGATCAGCCTGGAAATGTGTGGACAAAAAAGGGCTTAAAACTACAGAGAAATCATTAATTTCAGTATTTTCTCATGTATTTGTATAGCACTAATTTTCTGGAATGCCTACCATCAGAAAATATGGCATTTTACAGATGATGAATATATTGATTATGTCGTTAGCCTTTAACATTTTTTGGCATTTGCATTTCAATAGACTGGCACGTGGGCAAACAATGGCAGAGTATCCAGCTTCAAGATGGGAGATGAGAACAGAAACTCCCCTCTGGTTCTGGGATCCATCCCATGAGGAGCAACTGAAATGACAATATACGCCAGTGATTTTCCATATAATGAATGAGAAAGAGCAAGCAGGGCTTGGAAGGGTTCCTTTGGGAACTGGCAGTCTGTCAGATTAGTTTAATATCCTGGAAAACATCTTAATTCTCCTTTGGCTCATTGGGTAGCTCCTCAGCAATGATTAGGCTGGTTAAAAAGCTCTTGAGAACTTTTTAAAATTTACATTGTATCACCTCCATAAAAAATGGACATCTTCATTTGCTCCAGAGAGTTGAAAATGCTCAGAAACAACAAGCAAGGTTGTTTTTTTCTTAATGATTACACTTAGGCAATTAATTTTTTTTTTCTTCTTTAACCCTTTCTAGATAGTGTGTGCATGCATATATCTATGAATCTAATAACTTATAAAACTACAAATGTGATTATAGTACAGTAAACGTTATAATGTTTAATAATGGTATGAAGTGTTAAATTATACCCAGCACTGAACGTTTCTTTAAGAGAAAGAAAAAGGGCAAACAGCCAGCATGCCAGGCCTGTTGCTGTTGGTGATACCTCAAGAAGTTTTATTCTTTCTGAGGCTGAGGCCCTTTGCAGAAGCCAGCAGGAGACTCTCACTGTTACTGCCAGGGCACCCCGTAAYCACTGCAAGAGCTCATCTGCCGCGTTCACCTCTCTGCACAGGACCCTCAGCCTCAGGGGAAACCAGGCAGCCCTGAAAGGGAATGTGGAGCAGCACAGTGAGTGATCCAGACAAGCTTCAGTCCTCACTGGCTGCTGCCTTTCCTATGGAATCCTTTTCCCTGGCTCATTTCTGTTAACCTTCAGTGATGCTTTTTAATGCCAATATATATATATTTCTACAGAATAAATTACAAGTCTTTGGCATCTTGATCATAAGAATCAGACTTAAACTACACCCATTCASATACCAGAAATAATGTGGGCATTTGGTTACCTGCAATGCAAGTTTTGTCCTCAATTTGATTTTCAAGAAACCCTTGCAATGAAAATACATGTGCAAGCCAGGTCATGGCATTGTTCCAGGGGAAATGGAGAATCTGAAAACAAAAGTACCCTTTGCAAGGTAGAAATTATTCCATTGATATATAGATTATCTTAGTGCTGGTTTCTCTCTCTCTGAGCTGTTTGCGTGTATGTGGGCACAATACCTTGGCATTATATTCACTGAGTCYAAACACATTTTTATCATATGCTTAGCTGCTGAGGTGATTTATTTTCTGGATGTCATGGTATCATTAGCAGGTTAATACTGAGGGTGGCCTAAAAGGGGCTCATGATGTGCTCTCCTAATGAATTGCCTCCTTCCCAAAACCTTCTCAAGTCTGACGAAGTCACAGGACTGCAAGGAGAAAGGTAAGCTTATATCCAGCGAGGCAAGGGAATATCCAGCCCCAGGGCAAAAGTGTGCACATTCATCCTGCATCACATGAGTCTGGGAGGGAACGGTGCCAGACCCTCAAGTCATTCTGCAGTACAGCAGGCAGATTACTCTTAATRCAAAAAATGTAAACCATGATAAATGGGAGCAGATTTCAGCTGTGATAGTCCATGTAGCCTTCAATGCATGAGTTAATTCTTTGATGGAAGTCTGAGCTATTTTCATTGGTGAACAGATGCATTTCTGCTCACACAGGCGGTTTTATACCAGTGATGATACAAATAAAAAAGTATAGCTTCTCCAATTCAAGATTCCTGTAAATGAAACATGTAATGTTGACAGGTCAAAATATTGCATTCTGATTTTAACGTACTGCTATATTCAGTTCTAGCTGAAAAAAAAAAATAACTCAGGTTTATGATGTTTAAAATACGTGAGTTTTATTCTATTTACTTATTTTTAAAAAATACGTAAAGCAAAAGAAAACTCAAATACCTCAAGYCAGAAAATCCAAAAACCTAGCCAAAAGAAATGTATCTATCCACTTTTTAGTGAATTAATGCATTGTCCAAAGAACATGTGCTTTGTACATACATGGGCCTTTCTTGCAGTGGTTCCAGCTGTGCAGTGTGGGACCACCTGGAATAACAATGGAGCCACTAGAATTACTTTTTATGCATATACAGCAGCCAGGATCGGGTCCTATCCACATACAAGAAAACTTTTGTTTTTGAAGATGTTCCCAGCCAGGAACAGCTTTATGAATAGCAAAAGTTGCAGTTTAAGTACTTGAGTTGCAGTTTAAATACTTGAGTTGAGTCTCACATCTGTTTGGGACCAGCACACTGTAATTGATTCTCTTGATTAAATCTACTGCATGACAGGGAAACCCTATGAAATAAAAGTCTGTCTTTGACATTCCAGTTAGATGGTAGAATTTTATACCTTATTTTATTCCTTACTCTAGCCTCCAGTAGAAATCACATTCTTTGAGTTATGGATAGATCCCAAGGCTGAAGGGAGCCAAATTTCTGTCTTCCATTACCCAATAGGAAATGGGAAAAATTAAATGTACACGGAGTGGTGCAGCTAGTCAATATCCCATCTGAATCRTTCCCAGTAATTCAACAGAAAGAGTTAGGGGAGGGAAGGAATAGGGAAATTTTTATGCTACAAAGCCTTTTGCCAGAGTTCTACAAGAGTATAGTCCATTAAATGMTGATAAGGAACTTGATTGGCAGCTGACAGGAATATGTAATTATTTCATATTTTAATATTAATATTTTAATACCTGTGTACTTCCAAAACATTTCAAACCTCCCGCCCCCCTTTTTTCCCCCCTTGCACTTGTTTTAGTGACAAAGCAACCTGTTTTTATTAAAAAAAAAATAAATTAAAAAGTCTGTTTCATGCCTTCCAGAGTCAGGGTTTTTTTTTTTCCCCTACTTTTTAATATGATTAATAACTCTAACAGGTATTCTCAAAGCCAAGCAGCTGGGTTATTGCTCAAGAAACAGCTGTTTCATTGCTAAATATATCCTTATTTCACCAGCCATCAGCTTGCTGGAGCTTTGTTAGTTACTTGCCTTTAAACATTTGCTGATAGTGAGAAAGTCCTGGTACTTAATCATTGCTGGTGCTACAAAAGCCTGAGCTACTTTGAAAAAATAATACACATAGAAAAACATTGGCAGAAGGCTTTTTTCTTTGAGGGTGGGGAGGGTTTTTTTTTGTTTCAATGCCACACATTAGGTTGCAACCAGATGTTCATGTTATAGATCCTGCCCGGATTAAAAAAAAAACCACACGCACAAAAAACACCCCTTTTTATTCAAAAATGTCAATATTGTTTAACAGCAAATGTAATATAATTACAGTATTCAATAAACATTTAACAAGACACAGACATTTTCTGCAAGAAAATATTGCTAGAGTGAGCCTTTTAGCAGTTTAGCAGTTAAATTAGTAATTTCTTTTATAACATCTGGTGAGCAGTCTCTAATTTCTAAAGTTTTGGAACAAAGAAACATCRGGCAGATTTTGAGTTATGAATAATTTGCCAGTTGTTTACCTTTATGCCAATCTAATTCTCCACTGCATAGATGCAATTGAATACATTACAAACGTGTTTCCCATAAAAATCCCTAAAACGCAGGAGGGGGAAGGTAGAGAAAGAGTTCAAGCCACTCTRGTCCTTCACAGGCACTGCCACGCTTGCCACCATCCTCCTTGGCTCTCTCAGCATGGGATGGAGGTTCAGGACTTCACCCTGAACTCCCAAAATTCAGGAGTGCCTCTGTGCACTGACTCAAACCAAAGCAGTTGACCTTAGTAGAAACCTTTCCATAAACTGTGTGGATTTGGGATCAAGTCCAACGAGAAGCCCTCATGGCAAGAGGAACCTGTAGGGAAGTGGGAGAGAGGCAAAGGACCATCTGGGTGGGGGAGGATGGCCCCAGCCACCTGCTCATGTGCTTCTGGGCAGCCTGGGGACACGGTTTATGGGGTAGCAAGGCTTCTTCCATAGGGAGAATGTTGCTCAACCCCTCAACCCTTCGCTGTGCTGAGAGCTTTCCCTGGGTATGGTAATCCCTAACATCTCAACACTTCTTGGTCCATGTTTTCCTGATTTTCCTGTTTTCTTGGCCGAAGATCTCAGATGTGTTTGTGATCACCCTTCCCCTGGCAGCTCAACCCTTTCCTGCACTGTGATTGCAGTGGCTGCAGTGGCACCTCCTCTGCAGGACTCGGGTCAGCTCTCCACATCTGCTGTGCCCATTTCTGTCTGCCACGGGGTTGGATCCTTCCTGTGTTACAGCCTCTGMAATCCCATGTGCTGGGAGAAGAATTGCATCCAGTGCTCCACAAACCACATTTGGAAATGGTGTGATAAACCTTTCTCTAAGCTGTGCATTTCCAGAACAGAGTTAATTTATTGCCCCTTATCTTGAATGAGTGATAACACAAAGTCAATAAAAATTACTCTTTGTCATCGTGTCATCCATCAAGGATACAAGATTTTTGTATATTTTTAGATGAAAGGTTTAATTGCTAGACTATTTCTAAGAGCCATAATGTTTATTCTTTAATCTCAAAAATTAAACCTATGAGATTTTTTAATGTGTATGTTTCATACATGCTCATAAAACTTCCAAAAAGAAGTCATCTTTCAAAATATGTCTCCTGTTTTTTAAAGAATTAATGTTGAAAGCCCAGAAGAAATATCTTCTTGT